CGAAGGTTATCGATGCAGTCACGTAGATCGGTGACCTAGCCGTCGACTTGGGGTCGCCAGCGCTCGAAATCGACCTTGGTCGCTTTGAGCTCCGCCACCGATTCATCGATGTCGTGCAAACGCCGGTTGCCCTCAAAGATCCCCTTCGATTGCTCATCCAACTTGTTGAGAATCAACGCAGGCTGGTCCTCAACCTTCATAGTAACTTGCAGATGCGTGCGGTGTTCATGCGCCAGGATTTGGGTGACTACAGATGTTACACTACTGAGTGCAATGATGATCACGATATCGAGTTTAGAACTGGATTTACGAATATGATACAAGTATGGTGGAATCAGTGTCGCCGGCGATCTCGAGCCGCAACTCGCCGCCTGTTGCCGACAATAACCAAGGCCTGTTCTAACTCCCCTCTCCTCTCTCTTTAAGACCCTGTTCGCTTCTTTAGGAATGACACCCAAGAAAAATTCTGGGCCGGATCGTTATTTTCATTTATATTAGCTTTCCAGAGATGAATCGTTCCTAGCGTCGAATTGCCCCAAACGAACGGAGCCTAAGGCCCCGTTTGGGAGAGCTCCGCTCCCTGATTCTTTGGCCCTGCTCCTTGATTCTCCGATGGACTGATTCCACTGGATTCCTTGGAGTGAGTAGGGTGGGGATCAGCAGAGAATTGATTCTCAGCTCATCCCCACCAAAATATAATAGGGAGCTAGAGAGGATCTAGGGAAGCAGTTTTTTTTCGGCTCCCTCGCTTGTATACCAAATAGATGAGTGATTTACTTGGATTCCCTGAGGAAGTTGGGTCATTTTTTTTACGTTTAGCAGCTGGGGAGTGATTCTCTTCGAGAATATGCGTCGTAAAGCGCTCCAAAGGGCCCCTAAGGCGTTCCGTTACAATGGCATCGCCGTGCTCCAGCAGTAGCAGCTGGGCTTGGATCATTTGTGCCACTCTGGGCCTTGGACTCGTTTGTTAGGCTTCCTGATGCGCTTCCCTTCTGGGCCCTTCTTTGTTAGCCCGAGTCGTGACAGCAAGTCACCGAATCTGAGTCCGGCCCTGCTCGTGCTCGCTCGCTGCCGAGCGCCGATGTGACGTGTACATACTCGTCTAGCCGGACCGGAGGGAGGAGGTAAAGATGTCAACGGGGCCCCGTTCCCCGATTCCCGGTGGGGAATTCACCCATTAGGGGACGGGGATGGTACAAATCTTCTCCCCATGGGGAATTAAATGGGAAAAAATCATCCCCATCGGGTATGACGGGGGCGGGGATGGTATACATGCCCCCGTCCCCATTCCCTGCGGGGACCCGAAATGGTTAAGAGCGAGAGAGAAAACAGAGGGGGAGGAAACAAAGCAAACACCGGCGGAGAGATGAGAGACGGAGGGAGTGGAGGGCGTAGGGCGTCGGCTTCTGCGGCGACCCAGCCGAGGAAGAAGAGGGCGGAGGAGAGAGAGAGAGAGCGCGGGGGGAGGAGAAGAGGGCAGAGCAGGTGCGCGGGGCGAGGTGGAGAGCAAGACGCGGGGCGCCGTCGGCAGCGGCCTTGGCTCGGGCGGCCGTGCGGCGGCGCTGCGACCTGCATCCACGGGGAGGAGCAGAGCGGTGGGCGGCGGTAAGCGCGGAGTAGAGAGGGAGAAGGGGAAGCAGAGAGAGAGAGGGAGCTCGGCGGCGCTCTGTGGAGGTGGAGCTGAGGAGGAGAGGAGAGGGCGGAGTAGAGGGAGAGCACGGGCGACGGCGGCAGCCTCGGCTCCGGCGAGCAGAGGCGAGCTCGACGGCGAGGGCGGCTTCGGCAAACGCGGCTTCGGCGGCAGAGGCGAGCGCGGTAGCCGAGGTGAAACTATGGCGTGCTTGGTGAGGTGCTCGTCGATGGCGTCCTCGGCACGGCAAGGCGGTGGCGCGGGAAATATCTCCGGCGTGCCAGTTCACGTCCTCGCGACGGCCCGTGGAGCGGAGGTGAGCTGTCGACGGGATGGATGAGATCGACAGCTGGGAAGCGGCACAGTAGGTCGTCGCCCATGGCGACCTCGGCACAGGAAGTCAGCGGCGAGCTGTCGGTGGAAATATCTTCGGCGGTGGCGAGCGTGCTTCACGTGTTGATGCGGGGATGGGGATCCCCACGGGGATTGGGACGAGGTTGAGGAAGAAGTGCTCCCATGAGTCTTTACGGGGATAGGGACGGGAAAATTTGCCCCCGCAGCGACGGGGATGGACAGTAACCCCAACGGGGAATTTCCCGTTGACGTTTCGAGGAGGAGGCGGTGGTTTCGTGTTTGTGAGCTGGTGGGCGCCGCAGGCACCAGGCACCCCTAAAAAATGGTGGGCGCCACAGACTTCCTTTTCCTTTTTTTTATTCCGGTGGGCTGAGTGCGAGTGCACGCGCAGTACAGCGGCCGGTTCGCGTGGCGTGTGGCGTGAGTGACCGGCCGATGGATACTCCTGCCTGGATAGACAGAGCTAGAGACAGACAGCAGCGCCCCCGGGCTGGCTTGCTGCTCGTGCAGCCGCAACTCTGCTCTCAACTCTGACCGCCTCAGGCCTCAGGCTTCTAGAAGAGGGGAGCGACACCGACACCGACACCGACACCGACACCCGCCCTTGGCCCTTTGCGTTCGTCGTTGGAGTAGGGTACAGTGTACGGTGCAAATGCAATCGTCCAGAGATCTGAGCGAGATGATGCATGGTTCTACAAGGCATCGAAAAGAAGATGACGGAGAAAATGCGTGGACGAAACCATATGCATGTAGACCGACCGAGTTGTAAAAGAAAGACGTCCCCAAAGATAACATAGGAGGTCAAAAAGACCGTTAGGGAGAGTATATATATATGCTTACGTGTATCGGTGTATGAGATGACATGGGTTGTCATATATATTGTAAAGAAGCAAAACAGTGTTGGACAAGAATACATCATCATCATGCATAGCTACTATACTATCCCATTCCTCTAGATGGTCGACTTTTTTTTGCTTTAAAAAAGACTTTTGAGTAGCGGTACGAGTTTACCATCCAAGACTAGATCAGTAGCCTGCTTTTAGTAGCTGCGGCTTCTTTTTCCTACCTTTTGCCACAAAATCGCTAGCTAGTCGTGTTTCCCAAGTCGCCTTAGCATTATGTGCTTCGCGCTAATGTTACGAGTAACGGTCTAGCTCCTTCTATATGCCACCCTGCACAATGCGCCAATGTAGCAAGTAACGGTGACTTCAATGCCTACCTAACTGTGCCCTTGAGAGTTACTACTAGTCTTAGCTACAACGGTAGCTCACCGAGACACAACTCCCATAAGATTTGACCACCACCTGCACGTGGACTATTAGGGCCTGTTCGGTAGGATAAAAAAATACTGTTTCGGCTGATTGTTGTGAAAGGAAAATACTGTTCTGGCAGAACATGAATAGTGATTTTGTGAGGTGGCTGGCCAGCCGGCAATCAACCAGCCAGCCAAAATTAACACGGCTTAACCCTCGGTGGCAAACAACTCCCCTAACAGTGGCAACCCCCCCCTCCATACGGACAACCCGCTCAAAACAAAGAATATATGTGTATCTTTTCAATCTGACATCTGCCTCAGCCCCCTCTCCCCTTTTGCTCCCCGTGCCACAAATCGACATGTCCTCGGCTAGGCACATCACGTCTAGAACCTAATTAATGACATCATTGTTGCCTCTCCTACCATGTCTTTCCTCCAATCAGCTTTATCTCTGGCTACACCATGTGTTGTTATCTAGCCCCCTCCCTCCGCTCATCATGCCCCTAGCCTTTGCCACCGCCTTTACCCTACTGAACCTCATCGCCTCGAGTGCAACCCCAGACTTCCGAACCATACCTAGCCCCTATGTCCTCCCCATGCCCCCATACTATACATCATTCATGCTCTCGTGCCAACCTACCCGATAATGGAGATCCACATCAATGACTTCCCATTCGCCATTTTGATGTCCCATCTGCTCCTAACAATGAATACAAGCAAGTTAGCCACCTATCAGGTCTCCTCCATCGATTGCCTCCCTCATGTGTAGTGAAACACCTCCAACTCCAACCATCCACTGGGGTGCTATGGAGGACATTAACGATGAGATCACCGCCCTAGAGGCAGTGGCAGAGCATGGGACTAAACAACCGGGGCCCAAATTGTTCAATAAGATCATGTTGAAATTAATGCATCATATTGTGTCATATATCAATTATCAAGTCTTTCAAGTTATCAGGCCTACCAAATTATGTTTTCTCTTCACTTTCCATCAGCTGGACCTGTTTTCACATCGAATGCCAGCTGGCTTTTCTATAGATATTAGGGGAAGATATAGGACTATTAGCAGAGGCAGGGGCCTGGCCTAGTTTGCCCTCCACGTGGCTCCGCCAGTGCCCGGAGGGACTAGATGACTTTGTTGACGGCAATATGGAGTATCATGGGAAGATAGACTACGTTTTCCTCAATGCCCCTACAACGAACACGTCCCCCTACATTCCCGTGGCCATTTGCAAGTTTTACCTCCGCTCAAGTAGAAAATATATATGATTTCTTTGGAAACATGGATCAATTTGATTTTAAATACATGGTTTTAAGCCTACCCTATGAGTCTATGACTCAGAACAAGCAATAATTATTTTCCTTCTAACACAACATGTATGTAATGGGGTATAAGCATATCTATCCAGCTTAGAGAAAAAGTTTTCTTTGTTACTAAATAATGCACGCAAAGTTAAATGGCCCTGCTTTAGGCTTTACACATCAGCCGACACATGCCTCCAAAACCGTAACCTTTTGGGGAGAAAATTGAAAATACTCTCTAATCTCTAATAAGAAAGAACAAAACACACCGACTAAGTCCAATTCCAACAGCTAAAACCTTTATTAGAGCTGTTATAGACAGAGAACAGAGATACAGACGAAACTTAGAGCTGCAGTCCAAATTCGACACGGTGACGCAGCAGCTTCCTTTAAATATTGCTGACTACCGTTTTCGCCAGCCGCACCGCCCCCGTCGTCATTCCGGCGTTCTGCGGCGCCATGGACAACTGCACACATCATCCCATACCCAGCCCGAAGCTTGCTTCTCCCGCTCCCGCGCCGGCGCCACCCGCCGCCGCGCTGCAAGAAGCCACCGGCGACTCGGAGTCCGACGCCCCCGTGTCGGCCTCCACAGTAGGGGACCGTCGTCCATCGGTGGCAGCTGCCTACGCCGAGGACGACGCCGAGTCCTGCAGCGGCGCCGGTGGCGATAAAAGTCGCGTCGACGCTGCTAGCGTCGACGACGACGACGGCCGTGGCGCACACGGCGACGTGGTCGACGTGGAGGCTGACGAGAACGAAGAAGTCGACAGCAGGATGTCCGTCCCGTGGTGGCGCCGGATGGTGCAGGACGCTGCGGGCAGTGCCAGCGGTGGGAGCTGCGCGCGGCCGCAGGCGGCCGCGGCGGCTGTTGTGGCCGGACCCGGGCATACGGCCGAGAGCAACAGGCTCTTCTGGGAGGCTTGCATTGCGCATGGATACTAGCTCGCTGACTCATGACTGGTAGGCAGTAGTAGCCGCCGGCCCGCCGCCCGCCATGGATGGGGCATCCAGGTAGATGTAGAATTTGTAGATGTAGAAGATGGGGTCGGGGAACATTGCTTGGCCTCCTGTGCTGCGTGCCATTTCATGACGTCAGGCATCTGACATCATCTTGTCTCAGACTGCTTTTGCAGACTTTGTGAATGTCCATGAGTTCTTCATGAATCCAATGTTTCCCGTGAATGGAACTTAAATTAACTTTGTTCCATTCTGTTGTGAATGAATTACGTGAAACATAAATTTTGTTCCTGTGAATTCAGCTCATGTTCAGGTCAGTTTATGGTGCAACGCAAATGAACATAAATGGAACGCAAAACCGGATTGACATTGAGGTCACCTGAATTTTCTCGGTACTCCCGGTCCTCCGGTCAATGCTACCGGTTTACAAGTACCAAGTATTCCCTCCGATCATAAAAACATATCATTTAGGACAATTTGTTGCTAATAAAGTTTAAAAACTAACTAATATGAACAAAAACAAATTTTGGATTCTGCAGATATATAGAACTTGCCTTCCAGTAGTTGCAGGTCCCAAGTCACTCACTCCATAGTTGGCATATATAGGCGGTGACCTAGCCGCGTGGAGTGCCTGTGCCTCCTCTCGGTCTCTATGACCGGCAGCAATGGGGGATGATGGTGCTTCCGCGCATGGCTGCTCGGATCCATGTCGGAGTTGTTCGGATCCGTACGTTGTCCCGATGCTCGGGTCCAGTGGGTTTTTCACAGTGGTTGCTTGGCCAAGTCACGCTGGATGCTATCTACGGAGAGCCATGAGTTGGAGCAGGTGTTGCTGTGGCTTTCATCGTCCAATCTTGCATGTTTTGGTAGAAAATTTTTCTCCCGTGATAAGGCTGCGCTGCATATATGTAACATTTGTATGCCATTGCATGTGACCATGTGTTGATCTTGCTCTCTAGTCGTCAAGATACTTTTGCTGTCAAGCTGCCTGCTGCTTCCTAAGAGCAGGCGCAACGCAATGTATACTACCGGACTCGTAATAACGTGGGTCCAAGGAACAGGCGGAAGTAGTGTGATCTACCCGGTGCACAATGTCTATCCTATATAAGGTCGGGCCCGCAAAAGAAAATAATGTGAGATACCCCAACCTCCTGCGACCCTTCCCGCGAGACAGAGAGAGAAGCTTTCCGTAGATGAAGGAGCAACAACGGCAGGAAAATGTAGACGAAGAAGTGGCGCCAACAGGAAGGAGCAACTGCTAGAATACAACGGCCGGAAACGACCAACTGCACTTCAATTTTCTAATCCATGTGACAAGAAACACTGTGCAAATATTGTTGTTTATTTCCTCGTTGCCGGAAACAGTCCTACTACCTGGCATTTGTTGCTGCATGTCCCACAATGATGTATCCTTCGAGTGTTAGTGGTAAGGCTATCTCCAACAACATCACCTAAAATACAAGATCCATTTGTTCTTTAGGTAGTGCTACAAACAAAAAGTTCAATACCTATTCGGCATCTTCTCCAACAACAAGACCCAAATCAGAATCATTTCTGCAAATGAGTTTCCAGAAGAGAGGATGACCATATTTGGGTTGTGCCTCTCAGGCAACCCAAAATAGGTCTCTCATATAGGTACTTTGTTGGAGGTTGATTTTGGGTCTCTTGCTACTTATTTTAGGGTTGGGTGCCCATATGGGTTCCTTGTTGGAGACAATCTAAGACTGCATTAAATGCTTCTTACCCTGTTCCTATCCCATTGCGGGTGTCCTAATTGCTAGACCAAATACACACTAGAATATTTTTATAATTTGAAGACTAAATAAATGTTAAGATATATTTTTATAATTTAATTGATATTTGTAGCGTTAATCATTCGGGCATGGAAGTCTATACAAAAGAGTCATCTAGAAGAGCACATGGAAGACAATGCAAAAGGAATATGCAAGGGCAATAATGGATATGTCAGTATAGCCAAGACAACTATTGAAGGGCAACTCAAGCGGCTATAAAAGGAAAAAGCCAGGTGCATGCATTCAGTATGACGACGACCTCCTTTTACACACACTTCCATGAGATCAGAATTCAATCAAATTATAAAAAATATTTTGACATGTATTTGGTCTTCAAATTATAAAAAACATTCAAGCATGCATGGAAGACCATATTAAGAAGTCATCCGAAAGGCCACGTGAAAACAACCGGCACCAAAAGACAATGCAAAAGGAATATGAAAGGACAATAATGGATGTGCCACTGTAGTCAGGATAATTATTGAAGAGCGCAGCACTGTCCAAATGTCCAGACAACAATAAAGGCAAATAATTCAAAACGCTCCATAATGCTCCTTGAGCGACTATAAAAGAAGAAGCCATTCGCATGCATTTTGTAGGAGAGAGTTAAAGTGTGTCTGGTCGCGCGATTGGGGAATCGCACAACCTGGCTCCTGTTCATCTTCTACGTCATGTGTCCACCTCCGCCTTCCTCACCCACCGTCCCCGGCCAGCCGCTGCGCTGCCCACCTCCCGCCCCCGCTCCTCGATCCCACCCTCCTCCTCGTCCTCGCCCCCCGCCGCCACCCACCGCCTCACGGCACGCTACGGTTTCGCGGAGCTCCACGGCCGCAGAGCTCTAGCGAAACGCTCACAACGTCACCCTTCTTCCCCTCCCCTGCACCTCCTTTCGCGCCCCCGCCCCGACATGGCCTGGCTACCTTCGCCGCCACTAGGATCCTAACACCACCATCACGCCGTCCTAACCACTTGGCCAGCCTACCTCCCTGATCCCCTTCTCTTCTAAGCCCGCCAGAGTTGGGGAATTGGGCAAGGGACGTCGGCGGGCTCGTCATCTCCGACGCCAGGACCTCATCGCCGGAACCTTCTTCTTCCTCTTCCTCTTCCTCTCTGTCGGGCGTGACCTCCTCCTCCCTCTTCGTCGGGCGCACGGGACGCCGTCGCGCAATAAACTTTGCGATTCGGTACGACAACGAGGACGATCTCCTTTTACACACCTATGAGGCGAGAAGAAGCACTCTCCACTGTTGCTATACTTTCCACCTTTAGTCTAGTCCACCATTGTAATATAGAATAAAGAGTTGCTTGTGATCACCTTGGGCTTATAAGGTAATTCCTCTAGATTTGCGTTAAGTGTTTGGGGTTTCCGAAAGGTATGCAATTAGTTTCCATTTGAAAATCACTACTTTCTTTTAGTTCATTGCTATTTTATACATGTCCTTGGTGGGCTCGTCAACCCCTGCGGATGGTTTCTTCGCGTTTAACCTGGGGAAGTCCTTGGTCGTGAGGGCTCGAGAGTCCCGATGCCCAAGACCTCGTGCCATGACGACGTAGCGGTCATTGTTTCTCTGCTTCTGGCTGTGGTTGCCGTCCATGATGGAGAGTTGGTGGGACCTGCTGTTGCGGATGCAGGTTCTGAATGTGTCGTGGCTCAATCCGCTTAGTACGGCATGGTGCGCGTTCGGAGGACACGCGTCCTCGGATGCACGCACCTCCGTGTGAGAGTAGACAGTTCGTAATGACATGGCGGACGGCCAATCCGATGTGCATGGCTTGACCCGGGCTTCGGACTTGACCTTGCGAGGCGCGATGCCGGTTGGCCGTTTGGTCACTTGCGATGACACCACGTGGCGGCGGATGGTTTCATCGCTCGTATGCGCCTTGATCCACCACATCCCATCGGTGGCGAAAGACGTTGCTCAAGGCGTGATCCTACCATGGCATCCAAACTTCCGGCATGGAGAGCCTGTACAGGGTAGAAGCTTGCAACGGGCGTTAACCCGTCGATATGGGCGAACTCGTGGTTTCCCAAGTGGATGTGGCCACCGAGGGCCATTCCACGGGTGAGTTCGTCGTGAGCCATGGGCCTTGGGTTTCCTAGGCGGAAGTCCTGATCATGGCTAGAGATGACAGAGGGTGCTGCCCCCCCTATGTAGGTGAACTCTGGGACGCGGCCTCTAGAGTTCGTTTCTAAGAGCGTGTCTGCCATAGGCCTCGGAGTCTAGGACTCTAGAATAGAAGACCTAGTTGGGGCCAAAGGCGAACGTGGGCGTTGGCTTGTCGACGTTGGTGAACTCGGGGTTCCCATGGTGGATACGGCCACCAGGGGCTGGTCCATGGGCGAGTCCGTCAATGGTGTGAGGAGCCATTGCTTCCTTCTCAATAAAGAAAGTGTGTGACTAACCCCTACCTGGTGCGTCAACTGTCGGTGTTTTGTCGACCGACTAATGAATTTGTATGAATGTCACGCGCTGCTAGAGGAAGACGATGGTAGCATCCAAAAGTCACAAGGAATTATACTGGTTCAGGCCGGAGCCCTACGACCAGTCTTAGAGAAGATCGAGTGCGTGTTCCTCGGTTGAATGCTCTGAAGTTCTTACAATGGGGTATGCAAGAAGGGTGAATGAGGTAGGAGAGTGGAAATCTATGAGCTAGATGATCTAGAGATACTTGGAGGGGTGCCCTGGTTGCCCTTATATAGAGTCCAGGGCCAGGCCATATACAAAGAGATAGGTTCTTCCGACCGAGTGGTCATGAGCCTGAGGGAAGGAAACTAGCTATCTTGATCGGCAAGGAAGTCCGTCTTGTCTTGGTGTAGCGCACGTCCGGGTGTGGTTGCCGTCATGATCTTGTGCCCACGTCGCGGTATGGGGTGGCGTGGTGCTATTATGCCAGTCGTAACGACACTGTTGGCACGATGGTGGTTCGCCAGCTGTCATATGCGACGTGGTCTCTGTCTTAGCCTCCTGATCTCATGGGTTCATCGTTCGGGAGTTGGTAGTCTTGCTGGTCATGGAGCCGGTGGCCACGATCTCAATCTCTAGGTCGTGGCCTTCGTTGGCTTGGACAACCATGAAAGTCAAGGTTGCTATCGTGAGCCCCGTCCCGTAATGGGTGGTGTCGTACGCTCGTCCCATCGGGACGTATTCGGACGGTGGTTATCGTACCTATCGTCATCGCCTGGCGGTCCTG